GTATTGACCAAATTCGTGTATGTTATCAATACTAGCATTATGTCTGTATTGTTTATAATAAGGAGTTGTGTATCCTATTACACTCTGAGGAGTTCTATTATGAATGTATACTTGTAGCATAGCTGCTTCTGCCCATAAGCATAAAGGAATGTTCTACAAAGTAATAGAGGCATGTATTTGTTTAAATATTGTTTTATGTGTCTGTTCTACTACTCTGTTCTGTTGTAGTGTATGTTTAACAGTTAGTCTGGATTTTGTTCCTTGACTAATTAAATACTCTTGGAAGTATTTACTATAGAATACTGTATTGTTATTGCTTTGCAATTGTTTTATTCATATTCCATATTGTGTAAATATGTTTGTGCTCCATTGAACATATTGTGTGTAAGCATCATCCTTTGTTTGTAACTTTAATAAAGATACCCAACATGTTGTGTCATTAACTAACATTAATAGATATCAAATATTCTTATATCCTTTATAGGATACTGGACCTATTATATCCATATGAATTATATTACTGTAATTAGCACTTATTTCCAAAGATCTTGTTTTTGGTTGTACTGTCTGTTCAATGTTTGCTTTTATACAATCAACACATTGTTTTTCATCAAAGTTTATTATCTTTTGGGATAATATCATTGTATTGCTTTGTAATAAACATTTAATATAATCATAACTGATATGACTAAGACGTTTATGTAAATTGTAAACACTGATTCTGCTCATAGAATTCATATAATGAGTGTTTCTTAACACATATAAGTTATTTTCGAGTTTGATCATTCCTATTTTGTGTTGCTTGTGATAAATAATACATTCTGTCAATTCTGGTACTACAATACATGCTACACTGTATTATTTTTGCCTCACAGACGTATGAAACGTATCCCTAGTAACAGTTACACTTGCAAACAAATCAACAGTAACTCTTACAAAGGCTGGAGATATGTGTATAGAGATTAAAAAGGGAAATTCAGGAGATACACACATTCCTGTAATAAATAAAATAACACTGAACAATGTTTATTATCATTCGGATTTAAACTTTTCACTTATAAGTCAAGTGTTATTATGCAACATTAGTTTCACATTCTTGTTCAAACAATTTATATCAATTGTATTAGGGATAAATTTATTTATTAATATGTTATTATTGTCCAAAATATTATTATAATGTACCCAATTCACAAATGGGTTGTTTGCATTTGTGTTTGCAATAGTATTTGCCTGCTGAGAGGCTAGTATCTCTGTCATTTCAACTTCTAGTACCTGTTTGATATATACACTTACATGTACTGTAGTTACTACTAGTGTAGGCTTTGCTTCTGTTGCTTCTACTACATTTGCCAAATGATTAACCTTTTTGGCTTGAGCATCTAGTGTCAATTGGGACAGTAATGCACAGTAATCACATGTGTAGTGCTCTAGGTTGCTACAATTATAGTATTTTGATACTAGAGTTGGTTTGCTTGTATTTTTATTAATTCCTTTATTTCTGTGCTTTTTATCTTTTGTACAAAACATATTTGCCTGTCCACATATTGTAGGCTTGTTATTATTGTATCATAGAGGATTTTTAATGTGAAAATCGTTAAATGCTTAACATAGTACTGTAATAAGTCTTTACAGCTTAATAGGTTGATACTTGGATCCAGGTTTTCCATTGTAAAACATATCTCAAGCTTGTTCCATAGCTGTAATAGTACTACTATATTCAGAAGGAGTTACAGTGTAAATAGCTGCTCAATATGTAGTGTCTGTAAGTTTTAAATTGTCTGCTACAAGCTGTGCATATATCTGCTCTAGCTTATCAAGTGTTTGTCCAAAGTTTTTAACATGATCATTACATTTAAATAGTAAAGACTCATTGTATACTTTATGTGTAACTGTATGAGGGTTGAAGCATTCTTCTAATCTGCTCATAAGAGTTTTAATTGATGTTCCAGTATGCATAAAGTTAGCCATTATATGATCCACTACTTTATTAATTATTGATGTGTAAATTGTATACACAACCTTGATGTCTTCAGGCTTTGGTTCATTTGTGAACAAGTACATATAGCCTGTTGCCACAATAGTAGAGTTAATCCAATACTTCCATATTTTGAATCCAGATACATTCTTTAGTTGTACAATGTTATGTCTAAAGTGTTTAAGGACATTGGCAGGTTTGTAGTGAGTGGGATTTGTCCTGCTTGTCTGCTCTAAGGATGTAGATGGATTTGTTACAGTTTTGTTCAATGTGTACATATTGCAGGTACTTGGAGAGTCCATTGTAGATGCAAAGTATTAATGTGAAGAAGTGTAGCATAGTCTTGTAGTAGTAATATGAGGTGTTAAGCAGAGAGTGCAAGACTCATAACCTGTTAGAATGTGTATTCTTAGGTTATTACACAAGTAATAAGGGTGTAGACCCTGATAATAATATGTATTTAGTTAATAAAGTGTTCTTTTTATATTGTTTGTCTGTCTGTATGTCTCAGTTATCCAGAATATGTTTTTTTATCTAATACATGTCTTGTATTGTGTATCTGATACATGTATCTGTTCTGCTCTAATTAGTATTATCAGTTTACTAATACTATATTGTCTGTAAGACATGTTAACAAGAAGACTGTTTTATAGTAGGAGACTAAGTTATACTCTCTACTTACAACTACTACTAGGATTATCTTGTACAAATACTAGAATGTGTTACAAAGTTTATACTGTGTTACAATAGACTGTACTTTATAATTGTAGCTAACCTGAACAAGTCAGAATATATGCTAGAGTTACCTGACTCTAATTAGGCCTTCCCTAGGTTCTATACAAGTCAGTTAAAGTACTATGTTCTGAATAATAATACTTTATTTCTACAATGTGCTCTGAACCAACCAGGTCTGATAGAAGGAGATGAGGAAGTATATAAAGTATTACAGATTGTAGATAGAAGGTACAGAGGGTAAGGTTAGTAGTATCTAGTAGAATAGAAAGGATAGAGTAAGTAGGAACATAAATGGAAGGCAGAGTCTGAACTCTAGAGAATGGCTTCTAAAGTACTACAGGCATGGTTAGCCTTACACTCACACAGGGGTGCTATTTTTTCAGAAGGGGGAAGAGTGTAAGCCTACCTTACAGCTTACAACAGTTTCTATACTATTCTGTACCCCTCTGAGTATAGAACCACATTTCTGAACCTGGACCCTCTCCTAAGCCTAGACCTCCTTAGTATAGACTCTAGAGCTACACAAATTTCCTCTTTTGTCTTCACACTATGTTTCCTTATTGTCTGAGTCACATACTCTTCATTCTTAGAGTATACACTCTCCTTTTCTCTTTGACATTGTTTTCCCCTTTAGGTATGAGCCACCTTTGTTTCATTTCTAGTATATATAGTTTCAATCTTTCACCTTTGTTACACTAGTTCTTATTCCTGACTATAACAAAGGTGAGCTCTCACATATACATAGACCAGTTCTTATTCCTAACTATAACAAAGATACCTTTGTCCTGTCAGCATTCTATGTGTGTTAGCAAACCTGGAACTCAACAGAACTTGTTTACAACAGTGTTTAGCATTTCCCTAGTACTGTTCCACCTTATAAAGTACAATACTCAGTTATTTCCAAAGATGAATAAATGAGATAGAGCTATTACTTAGAAGAACTCAATCTGTTGTAATAGTCAAAGCTATTAATGTATGAAGGCACAAACACAACACACCTCTTTGTCCATTGTGATTACTATAATATAATAAATACATAGTATTAGTAGAAGTTTTACATAGATAGACATACTAGCATTGTAGAGTAGAAGGGCTATGGTTGTAAACTGCCAATATTGTTCAGTCACTACTTCCAAGACAAATTCCTGTACAAGACCAGGATCCAATGTAACCAAATTGTTTCTGACTGAAGGTGACATTGTCTAAGTACAATTCTTTGTAAATAATAGTTGAGAGTAGCAGTACTAAGAGTGCAGCTCAGGCATCAAATGAACCCTGCTTTATAGTACTCAACTAAAGACATTTTTAGTATATTGATTTGAAGACACTCTCAGATGCTACTGTGACTGGATGTGTTGTGTGTTCTAATTGCACCAGAGATGAAAGAATAGAGGTCTCTTGTCCTCAAAAACCTGTTAATGACACCTCACCTTGTATCAGAAGTCTGATGAAGCTTACTATAGTGAGGATAATATAAGATAAATTTCCAAATATGTAGAATCGTGTTCCAAAAGAAAATCTGTGAACATGATACAAAGCATTGGACCATTTTCAGGCAAAAAGAACTAAAGGTCAAACAATACTAGTAATACAAGTGGAATAAGATTGATGAGTTTCCACTTTGTCAGAGGAATATCACAAAACACCCACTTTTGATGCCAAAATTGAAATTCATGATATGACAGACTCGAGACAGTGTAGTTCCATTCGAGAGGCATCAGCCAAACTCTCTTAGTGTATTTGTAGAAAACACTATACCCTAGAAAGGGAAATAAATTACTTTATCATGGATAGGGTACTTGACGGGTTGAAATCCTTGAAACTGCTGATGTTTCCAGTAGACCTCAGCTTTATACAATGCAAATAGCACAGGCAGCACCTTGTATGCATATAGTAAAGACCAGTAGATGTTGGCAATCGAAACTCTCGAGAGTAGAACAGTGAGCCTCTCGGTCGTTGCGAGGAAAAGCAAGGTCAGTCGGCAACAACCATAAGGTTCAAGTCCAGGATGCTTTAAGATCGCCTCACTGACTCAGTCGACTGGCGTTTCCATAGCAAGGGCTCTATGATCGGAGAGACAAAGATGCTATGACGATGCGATTGTCGTTTCTTAATCTGGCATAAATGAAGATATATGATGAGAAAATGAGCGACGCGGACTCATTAGGCTGTGGGATGATCGTTGTGGTCACCAATTCACCAAAACCCACATACAGCCAATCTAAGGTGACAAACTTGTCATCTAACTAATCTACTTACATTGTCTTAGTATCCAGTCATCCAACTTCCTATGTCGCCGAGAGTTGGCAGTTCCCTTCCGTTGAGAGTTCCCTTCTATTAAAAGGAGTGGGTAGACAAGTAGTGAGCCGCGCAGCGGTGCTGCTACACCTGACACGATAAACGACGTGGATAGTCAAGATCACTGGGACGAGAAACATCGTCTGTGGGTCGACTCCGATACGAGCGCAGAGGAGAAACGCAAGCGCAAGAGAAAGAAAGCGGAGATTTCATTACGAGACACGTAGCGGAGATTATGCAACGGCAGGAGTTTATCATGAAGCTTGCGAGAGCATTTCTGATGTTCGGAGCTCCTAACCACCGGTTGCCTGCGCAGATCCAGGCGAGGGCGAGGGCGAGGGCGAGGGCGATGGATATGGAGCTCAGTTGCATGTACCTGCCGGATGTGATGCTGATTTCGTTCGACGAGTACGAGTAACATCAAGCTCATTCGTCAAGGTACCGCTTTATCGTTAGGTAAGCTCCAACAGACATACGACTTGTATTGGTGGAAAGTCATTCACGATGAAGTCGGAGTTGGTGAGGCGAGTAGGAACTTGGATGCGTTGATGCAACAACGTCAGCCCTATTCTTCCTGGCAGCTTGCGCTCTTTGGAGGACTTTGCTCGGCGGCGATTTGCCAAGTTAGTTTTGCAGGGAGCTTTATTGACGCACTTATTTCGTTCCTGCTTAGTGTGCTTCTGGTCGTCGTTCAGATCTTGAGCGTTAGGAATGAGTTGTACTCTAATGTTTTTGAGCACGTGCCTTTCATTTCTTTTACGCATTTAGATTATTGACAATTACAGCCATTTGCATATATAATGAGACTTTCTGATTTTTGGAGAAATGACAAAATGTAAGAAATCATATGACAATTTGGACTTAGAGGAAATTTGTGAGTATGAGACACATTGTGCCACTGTGTGAATTGTGTTCAGACACTCCTGGCACAACACATCTCATTCACTCTCTACCTTGTGTTTGCTATTTTCCTTGCTAAGTCCAAAATATCACATGATTTCTTACATCACATCACATTGCTCAAAATCGAAAAGTCTCATTACTTATGCAAACGGGTGTAATTTCATTTCAGGATTGCGATTGCCACTTTGCTCAGTTTCTTGTCCGCCATTTTTGCTGGAACACATCGTTTCTGCTACTCTGCTGTCGCATCCGGTTCCATTGTACTTATCCTACTCGGTTTCCTAGTCCTTAACGGCTCACTCGAACCCTCCAGTCGAAACATCATCTCAGGCTCTGTCTGACTCTGCTACGCTATTATGTATGCTATCTTCCTCGGCTTCGGGCTCTCCATCGGTGGGACGTTGTACAAGAAGGTCACCCACAACCCTGTCAGCACTCCAGAAGACTACACCTGCACAAGCAGTCATCATGAATACGGGCCTTGGTACCAGCGTACACTGAGCACCAGTTAGGCATTCCTTACTGTACCGATGTTCTCGTTGTTTTTGAGCTTGAGGAATCGGGCGCCTTGGAGAGAAAGAGCTGCTGGTGACAGTGTTGATTTCATGCCTTGGGTGGACTTGTAATCATTTCTCAGCGTTGAAATTTCCGAATAGGAGTGATGTGAGCTCGGCAATTGGGTACGTTGTCACTTTTTTTAGTTTCATGAAATATATAGCATTGGTTACTGGCAAATGTGGTTTCTTGGTTTAGAGCGTTCGTCGTCGGCTTCGTTGCTAATATCTACGGCTGGTTCTTCTCTGGAAACGCATTTGTCATCATGGTTCGTCTCTTTCGCACTCTACGTCTGATTGTTTCCTGACATGTCATCTGCGATCCGTACATATCACAGGCATTATTAGGCGTCTTCAATTCATTGGCAGAGGGAGTTGCAGAAAGAGATTGGCATCCAAACCGTGTACAGCACAAGTCCCTCAAAATTGAGGTGAGGACTTGCAGAGATCAACAATTTACAGTCTATGTCACGTTACTTGTAATTTTTGTTAGGTTGTTGTCAAACATCAACTTCATTTCAAACTCTGAAGCATCTGCAAGTGCCAACAAGTGGGTTTGAGCACTTGCAGACACTTGCAGGAATTGCATCCACTTTTAGTAATATTTAAGGTACATACTACTTTGCTGAGACACCCCAAAATCTTTGTACTGTCTTGCAAGTGCTCCTACCAATGAATTGAAGATGCCTATTCTCTTCCAGCTCCTCTCCAGACTAGGCAAGGGCAGTCTCATCACCTTTGCCTCACAAAACAACAGTTCTGGCACAACCACTTCCTACTTCTCCAGGTTTAAGACTGTATTACAATTAATTTCTATATGTGTTGGCCTGACAATAGAGTTTGGGATTTCTCTTTTGGTCAACTTTCTGATTCAGAGTCAGAGACACAGTGGAGGAATTTTCAGTTTATAGAATATATATATATGTATATACTGTCAAATATCAAATCAAGCAAAAAATGAGTAGAACAGTAAAGAGAGTCAAAGTTGTAAAGAATGTAATCTACAAAGGGAAGTTAGGAAGGCTGACAAGAGGATATCAGATTCAGATATCCTATTGTATATTGATGTCAATGTTAATGTCAATACCTCATCCTAGTTAATATGCTGAAGAATCAAAATATGTAACCTTATCTATATACTGTAAATCTGCACTTTGTTATACTATACTCTTCCTAAACAGGTTTGTTGTACTATCAGTCACAACAGTACTTGCCTCTGAAACTGATACAGAGACAGATGAAGCTGTAGCACCAAAGGATGTTGTAGGATCAGGAGAGTAAAGTGTCCTCATTATTGATAGAGGACTTGTTACTAAAACTACTGTGTTAGAGTTGTATACTTTTTGTATCTAGGCTCTGAGTCTTACAGCCCATTTTTAGTTAGCTCCAATTGGCCACATGTAGTTCCTCTCACATTTCACTAAGTCAAAATAAAGTACTTTTCCTAAGAAAATAAATATTCCCCTCCCCCAATCCTAACTAAAACCCAAATTAACACCTAAGCCTAACAGCCCAAACTTATCCTAAACCTAATTGGGGTGGCAGAGCCCCCCCAAACCCCTCTCCTAACTTCTCACTCTGTTCATGACAAGGGCCACAGTATGCTAGAATTACATAAGTGGTCAGTCAGGGTCATCCCTAATTGGGCTGTGGGATTCAGGGCCTAGATGCAAAAAGTCAAGAGTCCCATGTTAGTAGTAACAACAGGCATTGGAAACACGATTCTTGTTACCAGAGCAGGTGATCCTGGTGGAAAAGGGATGCTGCCTAAGCTTGCTCCAGTCCTCCGAGGGCTCGGCGTAGCGCGTCGGGACGTAACATCTCATTAGGAGACATCACACTCGACACAGTAGAAAGCGGATTGTGTCCATAACAGGCGACTTCACCGCTGTTGCTGCTGGTGGAACAGTCAGCAATGCAGTATTAATGCAGAGAGGTGGGATGGGAGGAATGACGTTCTAGGAGGAGGTCCACTTGAGATCTGTTATTTCATGATTGTCCTTCATCAGCTCGGGTCATGTGATGCTGACTAATGACTAAAATTGGAAGCTGAACACGGTTAGTCACACTGAATCACTGTCACGGTACTGCGTGGCTGAAATACGACTCTGAGTCTGACGACATTCGCGCGAAACTGAAAATGTGGGCTTTGTCTTTATCACTGACTCAATTGCACGGATGCTGCTCCCTTCTAGAAGCAATCGTAGCGTATGGTAACATCGTGCAGCTGACTATGTGCCCTTGTCATACTTATTTATTCATGTCGTTCAAACGCGGCGAACTTCCACTCAAGCGCCCAATTTTGATCGCCTCAGAGAAGAGCAAAGACATGCTATGTCAATCCTGCATGATTCTCGGGAACTCCTTCGTAGTTCTACTTCCAGAACCTTGGTCTTCGCTGATGAAGTCCATACCTTCGTTTTATGGCACTTTATTGATGGCGGGGACACCATTTCTGTGAGTGTACATTTATATGGGGTCCATGCAATACTTGCTCGAACTTTATGCATCTCTGTCCCCGCTGTTCGTTCTATTACAGAATAGGGCTCCTGCCTTTCGAAATTCCTTAGCAGGTTCTTACCTTCTACCAGATCGATCCGCTCTGCTCTGGTCATGCTCGCGCTTCACTGGTATTCCAGTCTTCTGTTAATACGCACAAAAATCTGTTTGCTGAAAGACTTCTGTTAGGCATACACTGTTCATGGCCTAAAACATCCTTTCCTGTGATGTCCGATAAGTGAGGAGCAAGTATTCTGTCGTGAGCATTTAGTTAATGAATGTCAAGGTCTAAAGACTCGATCTAGTCTGTTCTCACCTTGTCATTAATTCTCGAAGCTTGCATTACCAGCTGACGTGCTATATCTGATACTATAGGGAAACCACGTTCCGAAGCAAGAGCCGAACGCAAAAACATTTGTTCAGGATGGCTAGATGTCTCACTGCTGCTCATGGTCTAATGGCGATTCTAGAGAAATAGAGCAATATATAAGTCCCGGAAACTCGGTTATGCCCCTCATCCCTTTGTATATTTGAGACTTGGACATGCTCGCTATTGCTCTGCTGCTCTCCGTCTATCTTCTTGCGTCAGCTTTGCTATCTCTGGGCAAGCGCGCTTTTGGTGTTATCTCGGATCCTCTACTGCTAATAATCAAACCTTTGATTATATCATTGTTGGAGGTGGTCTCGCGGGACTCACCGTCGCTAGTCGTCTTACTGAAGATCCATCGGAAATTATTCTTGTCATTGAAGCGAGAATGACGGCCGGAATGATCCACGGGTGTTTGATGTATTGGAATACGGCGTAGCATTTGGGGCGTCCTTAGACTGGGCTTGGCCTACGGACCAGGGCAAAATCATACATTCGTAAGTCCATTGAAAAGGTGAACAGAATTACTCAATAATATGTTATTATTATCCTGAATAGAGGTAGAACGCTTGGTGGATCTAGCTCCATTAATGACGCCGCGATCACACGTGGCATCAAAGGGTAATACGATGCGTTTTCAAAAGTCCTCAGCGATGAGGAGGCAAGCTTGGAATGGAACTGGGATTCACTTTTCTCATACATGAAGAAGGTAGGATTGTGTTTTTTCAACTCGGCAGACACACTCTGAGACCATTACCAGTCCGAAGGTTTCAATCCACTGGACAAGCAGCAGCGCTCTGACGGTGCGGATTATATTCCTGCTTACCACGGTTTCATTGGGTCCGTTCAAGTCGCTTACGCACAAGGGATGTACAGCGGGCCGGCACAGCCTGCATTTGTTGAGGCTATTCGCAATCTTAGTGGGATTGCACGATGTTGAGACGGACTTGGTGGAAGTGACAATTATGTAAGCCACGTTGCGAATTCGATAAACCCGAAAGACCACGGTCGTAGTCCATGCTCGTAAGGAAGTGATTCTATCCCCAGGCACGATTGCCTTCCCTCAATTGCTTCAGCTGTCTGGGATTGGCGACCCGTCTGTCCTCGATCCACTTGGAATTGATGTGAGGGTCAATCTGCCAACTGTTAGGCGAAACTTCCAGACTCAAACGAGAAACGACGTTGCACATAATACACAGCCTTCTTTTGACGCAGGCGGCACAGGACCCGACCACGCAATTGTATTCTTGAATCTTTATGAACTCTTCTCTAAGGGTGCAGGCTCGAATGGCAGTGTGACGGGTGACGACATCGCTAGACATATCCTGACTGAATACCCGTCTTGAGCACAGAGTCAGGCAGTCAATGTATTGAATGCTGACGCGCTGACTGCGATTTTGGGTATCCAAGCGGAATCGATCGTAAATCATAATGGTAAGCAAATCATCGTGAGGTGCGGACAGAATCATTGAATCTTCAATCTAGCTCCTGTTTCTGTATTTTCCTTCCTAATTGGTAGTTCCGGGTAAATTCAGATGCTTACTTATACCTGATCTTCGTCTGACAAGAGCATTCAACATTCAGGAGCGGTGTCAACAATACCCTATTTGGTCTACTTCAATTCAGCCGCAGCAATATCACTATCACAGATACAAGCGTCTTCACAGACCCAAAGGTGACAGTGAACTGGTTCGATATCGATTATGATCTCGACGTTCAGACAGCCGGAGCCCGACTAGGCCGGAGGGTGCTTAATAATAAGGCGCTCGCATCCATCGTGACTGATGAGTACTCTCCTGGACTTAATGTTGTTCCTGACAACGGAAATGGTGGTACAGATGATGCATGGCAATCGTGGATTCATGACACATTTGCGGCAATGTATCATGAGGTTGGTTCTACATCGATGATGCGGCGTGATCTGGGTGGAGTCGTGGATGGGAAGCTTCGTGTCTATGATACGGTGAACCTACGCATCGTGGATGCGGGCGTGATTCCCTTCCAAGTCAGTGCGCATACAAGTCAGACGTTATGTGGCGTTGCGGAGAAAGCAGCGGACATTACCAAGCTGACGCGTAAACTGGGTTATGAAGATCTTATGGTCTATGGTTTCGTGATCTTTACTTTTCCGCGCATGTAGGATATCGTGAGTAGTCAAAAATGACAGGTCGAAGGCCATACAGTTTAAAGTTTCAGATCATGTGACGCTGGCAAATAAAAATTCACTTGGCTTAGCAGGCTCATCTCTGTCGCTGACTCTCGGTATGATGCCTCTGCTCTAGTCTGGCCGCTTCTACGTCTTCCGAGTGAATGCCACTAATGGCATGCGATGCTACTTGCATGTGGGTATGTGAATGCCAGTTGTTCAATTCTGGTGTTCATCTACTCAAGCCGCAAGTCCACAATTCTGATCGCGTTTCGGAGAAGAGCAAAGATACGGTGCGTCAATCATCCAAGACCCTTAGAGGCTGGCTTTCTGTAGTTCTCCGAGATTGACTGTCTTGGAGGAAGTCAAGCTTGAGCCAACGGGGACCTGATTTTCTTGAGCATTACTGCTTGGGTGGTCACTGCGATGATCGCTCGGACTTTATGCGCCCCGATCCTCGTCGTCTGTTCCACCGCAGAATAGAGTCTGTTTCTCTTCGATGCCTTGGGATTTTTATGCTATCTGCCCGTTTGATTCGTATTGCCTTGAGCGTGTCCACACTTCATCACCATCCCACAATCTTTTGTTAATGCAAAAGGTTGGTTAGCTAATGGACATCTACCCGACAAAATCTGTGAATGGTCTGGAATTACCTTGCGATTATTGTCGATAGCTGAAGGGCGTGCATTCTTCCTTGGTAATTTGACAAATTAACGTCAAAGTCTAACGTCCCAATCCAGTCAGTTCTTCATCTCGTTACTGGTTTTCTATGTTGCAATACTTGCTGACGTGCTCTATCTGACTCAGTAAGGGAGACGAAAAGCCAAAGAAAGAGTTGCTTGCAGAAACTTTGGCAAATGATGGCGATTCTTTCTGCTACTCTTGGCCCAATATTAACCTCCAAGTAGCAGAACAATATATAAGCTGCAGGAATTCACTCATGCCTATTCTTCCCTTGGACACTTGAGGCCTCAAACATGCTCACTAGGGTTCTGTTATTATCTATTCCTCCACTTGCATCAGCTTCATCATCATTGAGCAAACATGCTTTCAGTGCTACCTCAGATCCAGCCACTACTAATAATCAAGCCTTCAACTATATCATTGTTGGGGGTGGGCTTTCAGGTCTCATTGTTGCTGGACGTCTTGCAGAAGATGCTTCAAAGACTGTCCTAGTCATTGAAGCAGGAAACGATGACCGGAATGGCCCGAGAATATATGACCAGTATCAGTATGGCACAGTAATTGATACGCCCCTAGACTGGGCTTGGCCCACCGACCAGAACAGGTTGAGAAGAGATACCACCGAAACTAGCTTCAGTCCTCCGATGATCCGCATACGTACGTAACATCTTATCACCTTGGCTACTATATATTATCCTCTTATCCTCTCTATTCACTACAACGGTGATGCAGTATTAAGGCACTATACAAGAACGAGCTGTACCACAGCAGTACGAAAGCTTTGGCTACCCAACTGGTGCAGAAAACTGTTCATCTATGTCTCGTCTTAACTACACTCGAGATGCATCCGGGGAGCCTTCGGCAGTGTTTGTACTGGCTACAGGAAGGTCAGCGAATGGTAATTTCATTATTAGTATGAAAGTCACCTTTGCTTCTAACCGGCTGTTCGAATTCAATGTTGCTCACGGATTTCATGCGATAGCTCGTACCCTCATTGACTCCCAGTTTCCCTGCTTCCTTCATGTTAAAGAATAGTCGACTTCCCAGAATACACAGGAATGATGGGCTTCCAAGTTGATCAAAAAAAATAGCTAAAGAACTGTTGCCTGTAACCACTTTGAACTCCACTATGTTGAAAACACAGCATGATACTGCACTGAACAGCAAATTAGTCGGCATCTATCACAGTCCTTGTACTTCTTTAACTCACAGTACGAAATATATTGTCTGATCACGGATGAGAACATTCACAAGCTTGGACCCTTTAAGCCCAGCCTCCATTCTCCAGTACTCTGCAGCTTTGTACAATGCGAGCGACATGAGAATCAACCCGTATACCATTGGAATAGTCCTACATTATGTCAATCACTCATTCGTTGAAAAGGTGTGAATTCGATACCAATCAATAATTGCAAGTATCAAAATGCCGCCATTAGAGACGCATACTGAGATATTCTCCGTTAACGACAGACTAGAAACTGTATCCAGTAAGGTTTCTTACTTTGAAGGTAATAAATTTGACTGACTCACCCTTCTCTGCCCATGTTCCGTATACAAGTATAGCGAACTTGGAGGCGGCCTCCAAACCCAGGAGGGTCGTGAGACATGTCGTAAGAGATTTCTCTACCACATAATCAGCAAACAAATATTCCTACAATCACCCTACATACGACGTGAATATAGAGCCAGGACTCGAATCATGAGGATATCTACAGATAGGCTTTTAGTGAAAATGCAAAAACTGAGGCAAGTTTATTAGCATATTACAGTCTATTGAAAGTATAATGATACAGTCTGAGTGGCTCATCAATACGACAAATGGCTCCGTAGCTTCATGACGTACTGGAGACACTGTAAGCCCAACCAGAGAACTTGCCTGAAAGAGATTAAATCAACCATCCATGTCTTATACACATTGCTCACATCTGAAAATAATCTGAGGTAAAATACAGAAATTACTCTTTGCCCACTCACATGCTTTGATTAACACTCAGTTCTCCGTCTCAATAAAAAAATTAGCTATCAAGATCACAAATACGACTGTTCTGTAATACATACAGAATACAAATGATATGGCTCCAAAAATACCAACATAACGATTCTAGACAGGGTGAGATAAAGTATTTATGATAGAGTTCAACCACATACTATGAAATAAATCAAATTAACAGGTTTATTGAGTTGACGTCCCTAAAAAGTACTGTATTCAGTTACGTCCAAAGATGAATACATGGGAGGGAACCATTACCCAGAAGAACTCAACCTGTTGCAATGTTCAAAGCTATTGATGCATAAAGACACAGATACAACACACCTCTTTGTCCATTGTGATCACTAAATATAGTAAACACATAGTATTGGACGAAGTTTCACATAGACAGACATACCAACATTGTAGACTAAAATGGTCACAGTTGCAACTTGCCAATATTGTTCAGTCATCTTCCCTGAAAGAAACTCCTGCACTAGACTAGGATCTAGCACATCTGAGTAGTCTCTGACTGAAAGCAACATTGTCTCAGTGAAATTTCTGTAGATAATAGGTTGGGAGTAGGAGTGATGATAGTACTGCATGGGCAGCAAATGAAGTTCTATTTTATAATATTCAACTAAAATATAATTTTAGTGTAACTGCGACCAGACGTGTTGTGCGTTCTAATTGCGTCAGAGATGACAGAACAGAGGTCTCTTGTCCTTGAAAACTCATTATTGACACCTCACCTCGTATCAGAACTTTAATGAAGTATACCGTGCAGCTGTGCTAAGCGAGAATTTGAGGGATAATTAGATAACCTTCCAAATATGTAGAATCATATTGTAAAAGAAATTCCGTGAATAGAATACAAAGCATTGGACCCTTTTCAGGAAAAAAAGAACTTCAGGTCAAACAATACTGGCGTTGCAGGTGGAATAAGATTAATGGATCTCCACCTTGCCAGAGGAATATATCACGAGGACCCCACTTTTGACGCCCAAATTAAAACTCATGATATGAAAGACTCGAAACAGTGTAGTGCATTCGAGAAACATATGTCAAACTCTGTATTGTAAAATACTTTGATCTAGAACAAGAAGTAAATTGGTTTATCACGGATGAAGTACTTTCAAGCCTCGGATCCTTTGGATCAGGCTGACGTCTTCTAGTATACCCCGGATGCCAGTCAACTGAGTCGAATTTAAAGCAGCCTGGAACTTGAATCCTATGGTTGTTGCCGACTGTCCTTGCTTTTCCTCGCAACGATCGAGTAGCTCATTTAGGGATCCGAATCGTACCGTACAGTACGGTTACGACCCGTTTCGGTCACGGTACGATCTGTACTCGTACCGGACTTTGAGACACCAAATACGGCTCGTATAAAACGGGCCGTATCCCGTATCCTATTAGGCCAAATACGGCCGTATACGGCCGTATACAGAGTACGGACATCCAAAGAAGATTTTCAGTATTAATAACATGTGTAGCACAATTTATAACTATTTCTTCTCTTTGTATACCTTATAATATACCTTTTATACATAAAAACACCAAATTTAGCTAATCTTGGGGTCAATGTATTAATATTATATTATTTATCTTCTCAAAATAGTTAGTCATGTGACTATCTTTTATTACTTCATACAAATTATATTTCAGATTTACTGAATATATTGATGAAAATGGGCATAACAAGTGCTAATTTGATAGGGACATACATATAAAGTAATAATAGGCCTTTTTAACGATTTTAAAGTATATTAATTATTTCTTTCTATTAATATAATATTAAATTTGTATTTACAAGCGTATTACCGTATACGGCTGTATACGGTACACACCGTAGCCGTACTTGTGTCCTAGAACTCAAAAAACGGTCGTATTTTTACGACCGTACCCCGTACAGACCCGTACAGAGTACGGTCGTACCCGTATACGGTACGCTCGGATCCCTAAGCTCATTGTTCTGCTCTCAAATTTTCGATTGCCAACATGTACTAGAGCCTTTACTATAAGCATACAAGGTGTTGTTTTGTGTTACTCACGGTGTATAAAGTCCGTGGTCAGAGCTCCATCATGAGTCCATGATCGGAGAGACAAAGATGCCATGACGATGCAATTGTCGTTTCTTAATCTGGCATAAATGAGGATATTCGATGGGAAATGATCGCCGAGGCAACAACGCACTCATTGGTCACCAATTCACCAAAAACCCACATACATTATTCTTAACTTTAGCTGCAGTATAGCATGGCTCATGACTCCTCATCGCCACACAGTCCAGTCAAAAGAGTGAGTCATCACTTGCTTCAAGGATTCCTCGTGTAATGTGTCTAAAGTGACGAACTTGACAACTAAACTAAATTTACTTACATTGTCTACGTATCCAATTATCCAACTTCCTAAGACGTCGAGAGTTGGGAGTTCTCTTCCGTTGTGAGTTCCCTTCTATTAGAAGGAAAGATTAAGAAGGGTGGTTGATGATTTGATATTCTCGTAACCTGAAGGCAGGAGAAGCAGCCTGTAATGTTATCTGGGTCGAACAAGTCCAGACCATCTCCCAGTTTGCTACATAAGTTATTTCATTAACTTTACCCAAACTGACTGATACCTTATTCATCGTCCACGAGCTTGCATCAACAATAAATATCAATAATCACTCATAATCGAAACCCAGAACTACTCCTCATATCTTATCCTATATAAACCACCACAAGCAAATACGCTATAAAACTCACTAATAAGGGTATACAAACGACACATGCATATGCATGTGTGCCTGCCAGAGACGAAGAGAAAAGGTCAAGAGCTACGAGCACCGAGGCAGCAAGCTTTAGACTCAGTGGTCAAACATGTATGACGACCAGAATACCGAAGAAAAATTAAGAATAAAAAGTGTGGTCACACTGATAGACCGGAGTATGGAAGATGAAGCAAGGAGGTGAGCCACTGGGGGGCCGTACATCCTTGAGCAACCAAGTGCAGAACAAACTGCCGAACAGATAATAATAATGGTTCGGAATTAACCAAAACGTGGGGAAAGGATAAAATCACAAAGCCATATCGGAGGAAGAAAAGAAAACATGCCACCACGAACAGAAAAATTCGAGGAAAATAATCCAATAGGGTAGACTGAGGCGCAGTCGAAGCCACCTCAAGAAGGCAGCTACTGCATGTGCCTCTTCACATAAATATACATATAGTATCAATATCAAATCAAGCAAAAGAACGGAACCATCAAAGAGAGTCAAAGTCGTAGAGAGTGTTATCCACAAAGGGAAGTTGGGAAGGCGCGGTGGGGGGAGGATATCAGATATAGATATTAGATATCCCATTGTATATCGATGTCAATGTTTGTCGGTGCCGATACCTCATCCTAGTTAATGTGCCGAAGAACCGAAATACGCATCCTCATCCGTATACTGCGAATCCGCACTTCGCTGCGCCATACTCTTCCTAAACGGGTTCGTCGCACTATCATTCAGAACAGTACTCGTCTCCGAAGCAGAAACAGACGTAGCTGCAGCACCAAAGGAGGCTACGGGACCGGGAGAGTAAAGCGTTCTCATCGTCGACGGAGGACTCGTCACCGTAACACCCGTATTAGTAGTGACAACAGGCATTGGGAACGCGATTCCTGTCACTGGCGCAGGAGATCCAGGTGGAGAAGAGATCCCACCTAAGCTCGCTCCAGTCCTCCTCCGCTCTGCGTAAGCACGTAACATCTCATCAGGAGACATGACACTCGACACAGCAGAAAGCGGCATTGCGTCCATAACAGGTGATTTCGCCGCTGCAGCCGGTGGTGGAACAGTCGGCGAAGCAGTGTTAACGCGGAGAGGTGGGACGGGAGGGATATCGCCAGAATGGCGTTCCAGGAGGAGATCCGTTTGAGAACTGTTATTAGTTCGCATCATACTGAGAGCGGGCATCATAGCGTCGAACGAGGGACGTGATTCATTTGTCTGACCTCCATTCATGCGTGCCTGGATCTCTTCGGCACTAAGGTCCAAGGGTCCGCTACGCTGAGTGGGGCTCATCATACCGCCGCTGGTATCTTCACTGTCCGAGCCGTTGTTCGTATCAATAACGTCCGGGACATACTCTGACAGGCGTGAGGGAACCGGTGGGATATAAGCTGAATGGAAGGCACGAGAGGGGACGCCTGTACGACGAGATTCGCCAGAAGGGCGGGCGCGAGATCCAAGTCCATCCCCGGTAGAAGTCCGAGAGAAGCGCGTATCAGCAGCGAACGAAACACGTGAAGCACGTCCGACACTGCCCGCGGTAGAAGCGACTGGACCTCGGGGACCGACACCGGGACGACGGATTTGTGCCATTTCGGGTTGAGCGATATTTCCATCAGCAGATGCACCTTCGACAGCGTAAGTGCTGGAAGGGCGAGGAGTACCGACACCAGCGTTGCCAGAACCGGACCAGATAGAACTTCTGTTTGGATCGATCACGCTCGCGCGGACGGCAGCTTCTGCGCCCTTCACACTCATGCTTCTCCAGTCTCCAGAAATGACAGACATGCGCTGATCGACGGCTTCGCTCCATCTCTTGCGGCGTTCCTTTCCACGTTGGCGGGAAATCTTGATGTAAGCGAGGATCGCAAGGCCGATAACGATAAGCGGGACAAGTACGGCAGCTGCGATGCCGCCCTTCGAAACACCGCCGCTTTTCGCTGACTCCAAATTATTTACTTTGGTGACATTTCCATCACCAGAAGACGTTGTTCCGATATCTGAGGCAGATGTGCCTTTTGCTGAAGCATCGTACTTGGCAATCCAGATCGGACCCGGCGGAAGTTCAGCATACATGACTGGCATGCCAGTCTGTACAATGGTAAGTTGTAATTGAACAGTAGAAGTCGAGTTCCACCATTTCGGCTTCAATGTCGCCTAAATGCCGCAATGTCGGTTGTCAATACCAAACAAACATTGATAACAGCACGAAAGAGACTAACGTTGTAGCTACCCTCTGTGAAGTCGACATCTTGGAACATTTGAAGGATGGATTGCGTTTGATAGGGCGCGTAAAGATAGATGTCGGCAGCAGTTATGTTCAAGCAAGTATTGTCCCAAGCGAACATGACTTCGCTGCTAACATCGACCTGCTGGCCGGCGGACGGGGAACTGATGAAGTTGCCCGAGCAGGCTAGATCAAAAAAATGAGAATTTAGAATGAAGTGCATAGGATTGCAGAATGAACAACGTACAGGCTCGTCTTACCGCATTTTTACGGTTGTTCTTGACAGCCGCGGCATGCCCGATACGAAAAGTAGTTCTACCCATGACTTGGCCCTACGAGAGACTGCTGTTAACAGGTGCCGGAGAAAGGACAGTGGTGGCCTGGGTGGCCTGGACGGAAAGGAGAGGACGAGGGCTCGTGAAAGGAGGGGGACGACGAGTGGGCGGGCGATGGCGGGGCAAGGACAAGCGGGGAAGAATCGACTCGAACGTCGGCTAGCGAGCGCTACTGGACTCGCCTCGGCGATCATCCCACGGTCTATTGGGTCCGCGTCGATCATTTCCCATCAAATGGCCTCACTTGTGTCAGATTAGGCAACGACAATCACACAAAGAGGCGTTGTCATGACATCTTTGTCTCTCTGTCTGACCATGAAGCTTGTATCATGGGACGTCAACTGAGTTAATATTCAACTACACAGTGCATCAATCTTAAAGTGACCTGCAACTCGAATCCTATGGTTGTTGCTGACTGGTCTCCCTTGATTCTTGCAACAATTGAGAAGCTCAATATTCTACTCTCTCAGGCTTTTCAAATGCTAACATGTACTAAGCCTCTGTCTTGCATATTAGGCTCACATTACTCATTGTATATAAAGTAATAGATTTCCTTCCCTATGCTACAGTATGTTAACAATACACTGGAAGAATTTGACTGATACTTCTTTAAGAGTACTACATTGTAGTAAGACTTTAATACTATAAGCTTTGATCCAGTCATCAAGACTAGGGCCACAACAGTCTTCTACCAACAAGATTGAAACACATTAACCTTGCTCCATTTGTAATACCAGTACTACTCAGCCTATAGGAAATCTGTACTGAACAAGTGTAAGAGTTATTAGAAACTCTACTAGTTAACTGTAGACAGAAGTATAGTACTTGTAAATGTATTATTAAGATTCTGAAGGTAGTGTCAGGGCAGAGGATGTGCCTTGCTAGACTCTACATAATGTATATCTTAGTAGTAGATACCTGGTAGATTACTACTGTCTGACTGTCTGATCAAGATGCCTATATATTAAGACTAGGAAAACTATTTATCTTCCTGAATACTTTGTATTATATTTATAGGATTTTCTTTTATAATATGATTCTACATATTTAGAAGGTCATCTTACATTATCCTTAACTTCTTACTCAGTATAACTGTATAGTATACTTTATCAGACTTCTGATACAAGATAAGATGTTATTAATAAGGATAAGAGATCTTTGTTCTTTTATTTCTGACACAATTAGAGTGTATAACACATCTAGTTGTAGTAACTCAATAATAGTATCTTCAAATCAATATAGTAATAATATCTTTTGGTTGAGAGTAATAAAACACTGGTTTGTTTAATGTCTGAGTAGTACTATTAATACTTCTACTCTCAACCTACTATTTATAGAGAATTACACTTAGACAATATTACTTTTAGTTAGGGACAATATACTTGCCTTAGATCTAGATCTAGTATAGGAGCTTGTTTCAGAAGCAGCTAATTAACAATATTAACAGTTTGTACTCATTACTCTTTTAATCTATAATACTAGTATAGGTTTTACCTTTGTTTATATAAAATTTTGTCTAACATTATGTATTTACTATATTATAGTAATTATAATAGACAAAGAGGTGTATTATACTTAAAGCTTTATATATTAATAGCTTTGACTATTATAATAGATTAAGTTCTTCTGAGTAATTGTTCTATCTTATTTATTCATCTTTAAATATAACTGAATATAATAATTTATAAGACTACTAACTTACTAAACTTGTTAATTTGATTTATTTTATAGTAAGTAGTTGGATTCCTTTATAAATATTTTATCTTAACAGGTCTAGAATTACTACATAAGTATCTTTAGAGAAATATTAAAAATACTCTGTAAACAATATAGTAAACTCATACTTTTGACCCTAATAGCTAACATTTATATTTAGACTATATACTATATGTTAACTAGAGTATATGAGTTAGTCTAAACTAGTTACTGTATTTTACCTTACCTTAAATAATTTGTAAATGTAAATAATGTGTATAATGTCTAGATATTAGTTTAATCCTTTTTAGGTAACTTCTCTTAATAAGCTTTTAATATCTTTAGTATATTATAAAGTTACAAAGTTATTTATTATACTAACAAGCTACTCAGTCTAGACTACTATTATTTTAATCAATTGTAACATACTAATAATTATACCTTATTTTATATATTTTACTAAAAGATATTCTACAGATATTCTTACAGTTTGAGTGTTAGTAACAGTATAGAGGGGACCTAAAGGCTTAGTGAGGGGACCCAGACTACAACTATTCTACACAACAGAAATACAGAATATAAGTACTAGAATGTAGTCAGAACTTGTAAAACAGACAGAGAGAGAGAGTAAGACAAGAGTAGAGTATATAGAGTAAGCTTAAGAGTACAGGACTACCTAGAGTAGACAAGATCAAGACTATAGGACCAGTCTGATCTTGTATACCTATATATACTAAACTATACAAGAGTATTTAGGAAGTATGAGCTACTAAGAATGATAAGCTACAAAGAATGAAAGAAAAGAAGGTTAAAGATAAAAGTACAAAGAATGAAGGGATAGACAAAGAGTAAGAGACTATAGAATGAACAAAGAATGAAAGGGTGGTCAAAGGAACAGAATGATGAAGTAAGGAGGGGTAGTATTAAGAGTCAGTACACATATAGTCTATAGACAGTACCTCTAAAGGATAGAAGTCCTGAGTTCTAGTATAAAAGGGTGTAGAACCCTTAGAACTAAAGGTACAAGAGTAGAGAACTGTAACATTACCTTCTCTCTAAAACCAATTACTCTGATTGGTGAACATTAGACTTAGTTAGTAGTTCAGACATAGGTTGGAACAGTAGGGTTTGGAAATCTGTAAGACAGAGTTGACACAGAGCACCTAGATAAAGTTGATAAAAGTCTTGGATTGTCTTAATAGTATAAGTAAGATTCTTAGCAGGTTCCTAAGTATGTTCTTCAACTAGGTATCCCTTCTAGTAAATAAGGAACTTGAGCTTTCTGTGTACTAGCTTAGTATTTACTACATACTCTACTTTGTATTCTAGTTCAGAACTAATAAGTTCTAGTAGAGGTAGTAAGGGTCTTTATTGTAAAGGAAAACCTAGATTATAGTACTAAGACAATAGAACCTTGTTAAACACTGAGTGTATACACTTCTATATTGCTAGAAGTTAGAGTTTGTAGACAGAAGTACTAACCTTCTTTTTAATGACAAAGGGTCTGAAGCACTTGTTGTCCAACTTCTTTATTAGACAATCTGTAGTCAGATTAGTAGCTTCTAGTATAACTTTGTCCCTAGACTAGTAATCCTTAGCTACAGATCTCTTCTAATTATAGTTCTACTTTATTACCTGTACTACCTTCTCTAAAAGAGCTTATACATCTTCCCTAGTCTTGTGTATCCATTCTATAAAGTCTGTTACAGATTCAGAACTACTGTTCTAGTTTAGAACTGTCTCCTAGTATGAATGTCTCTTATGATTGAGAAAGAATAGAAACTGTCCTGTTACAGAGTGTTACTAGTTATTGTGTACAAATTCTGTTAGAGCTAACTATTCAGACTAATCTAATTACTAATGATTAATAAACATTTAGAGATAGAGCTTGATCTCCTGATTGACTTACTTAGTTTAACTATTAGTCTGTAAGTAATATACAGTAGAAGGGTTCCCTTAAATTCTGAGAAGTACATACAAGTCCTACATAAATTTCAACTCAAATTACAGTCTGTAATTGTGAATGAGCTTCTGAGAGAGTCTGTACAACTGGAAGATGTGATTCTAATAAATGTGTACTATGTCTTTAGAAGTGAGTTCTGTTCAGGTTAGAACTGTGTAGACTTGCTTAGAGAATTAGTTAACAATTACACAGATAGTGTTGTAACCCTAAGACTTAGGTAGCTTACTAATCAGGTCTACTAAGACTTCTTCCTAAGAGTGATTCAGGATCCAATACAGATGTAAGAGAGTCTAGACTCTTGTCTAGTAGGTTTTAGTCTGTTAGTATGTATTGTAACTAGTTACATACTTTAGGATTTCCCTCTACATTCCTAGCTACTAGTAGTTCTAAGTAATGAGTTCCTGTGTTTTGTGTTAGCCTGAATGTTCTATAGTCAGATTGTTATAATAAGCTTAGACAATGTCCTCTTACAGTTTCCAATCCTTTAGAACATACAGTCAGCCTTCCTAGTAAACCTATCTATCCTTATCCTCCTCCTAATCCCTAGCCTGCTTCTTTAACTACTTTACTACAACCTAGTCCTGTATGTGTCTTAGAGCTTACTATATATAAGTGACAAAGTCAACATTCTTAGATTTGAGTCAGATCTCTTAGATTGTCTTAGACACAAAATAGGAATTGTTTAGGAGAACAAGATTTTCATTTATTAGATTGTGCTCTGGATTAGGAAACCCCCAATTGTCTTATGTAGAATTACTACACTTAGAATGTCTTAGATTATCAGACTTTACTATGTAGTATATAAGGTAGATACTTGCTTAATGTCTTAATAAGAGAGAGTACTTAGGGCACTCCTACTATGCTTGTTAAAAGGTTATGAGCCTTAGTACCTATTGAATGCCTCCACACACTCACTCTTACAGAATGCCTTTGCCTCCTGCCAGACCACCAAGCCTAAGACCTCCCTCTCTCTCCAAACCTATTATAATGTTGTCTACAACACATACCTTTGTTAATACTATAATGAAGGACTCTGACATTACAAAGTTCTTTAAGGGAACAGAAAAGTTGGCTAGTGTGAAGGGATACAAGATATAGTACTTGTGTATACACAGTGTACTCACTGCCATAATGCTCTTAGACCATCTAGAGCACAATCCCCCTTCCTCTAATGATGCTAGCATACATACAGGCAATGTTTTGTATCATTGTATAATGAAAACAATAACTAATACAATTTATACAAACTTTACAACACATACAAGTGTTAGAAGTCTTATGAAGGCACTTTCTGAATGATACAATGTTCAAACAACAATGACACATGCTGTAGACATATCTACATTGTTTACAGTAAAAGGGTATGTATCACAGTTTAATAAGACATTAGACAACATTGAACAAATCTACAGGCAGTTGTCTGCACATAATAAAGCCCCTAATAACAATACATACA